CTTGTGATACAAGTACAGGAAAGTGTTGTTCCCCTCTCTGTTCCATGGGAGTAGTTTCCCATCACTTCCTGTTGTGTCACCAGGTCTCCCCAGGGACATAAATAGGAATAAAAATCTAAGACATTATTAGACCCCTTTCACACAGCCATTCCAATCAGAGCCACCTTTCCTTTTTTTTTTTTTTTTTCAGGCTGATCTGATCAGAAGCTCAGTGTTAGTCTGTGGGCAGGTGGTCCCTTAAGCTCCTAACCTAACATGGATCCATTAAACTCTGTTTTTCTCCATCACAAGATGGAAAAAAGTAAAGAACTGACATGGATGTCACAGAAGTGAGCAGGGGATCTGTGCACCGATGCTGACATTAAAGGGGTCTAACTCTTCCACATTCTATCAAAAAAAAAAAAAAAGTTCTGTCTGGGGTTGGGCTTTAAATGTCAATAGCAGCCACATACCAGTGTTAGATACTGGGTGTATTGACATTCCATTGTGGGAGACTTGGAAGCAGCTGGTTCCTCTCGTGAGAGTGGGCTGTTTGGATGCTCAGCAGTTTGCACAGTGTGGAGTTGCATGCAATGAGGGTGGTGCTGACCAGGTGTTCAGTTTGCTGAAGTCTTAAAGCAACCATGATTTATTGCAATAGTATTTTATTAAAATGACTCTATGGCCACTCTATTTCACATAGCAGTGTTAACGTAATAATTATGAAGGATACAATCTGACTTTACATACATAGCCGTGAATGTAATTAGCACCTTTTGTCATGTAATGCACAAAATGGCATTTTTTTGGGTGGGGGAGAACAACAGTTTCTTGTGGTAATTTCTTTATTGCCTTCTGTTGCAGTGCCATAGCCATTGTAAAAATAGCTTGAGCTTTGACCACCATATCCATTTAAAGACCTTTTCCCAGAACAGGAAATATTGCTTACAATTTCTTTCTATGAATCTACACTTTAGCCATTAAAGGAGAAGTATTGGAAGAGTAAAATGTACTGTTCCCAGTATTTAGAGCCAGCATGTGACACTGCAGCTGTCATACGCCGGCTCTATATACTGAGAGTTGAGCGATCGTTTAACTGCTGATCACTCATCTCACAGCTTTCTCCCTGCAGAGAGCAGTGATCCTCAGTCACCGCTCCCCACAAGGATTTCCCCCTCCTCTGTCTGTTCCTCCAGAGCTCATTCGAGGGACAGACAAGGGAGGGGCGGGCACAGCTGGCTCTGCCTCTTAGAGGCAGAGCCAGCTATCAATCAGGAAGCTGAGTGGATCCCGACAACATTGTCGGGAACTTTCCGGGCTGCAGCATGACTCTCTGCTGACTTTCTGCTGGCTTTGGGTCACAAGAGTACATTAGTACTTTTGTGACTCAAAAGAGAAGTACAGTCAAAAAAGGTTTGCTCAGTTACTTATAGGGATGCACCGATGCCGGTTTTTCGGTACAGATATTTATCTTTCGGTGCTCGCCAATAGCAATTACCAATTACTGGTACTTCCGCTAGCATGGAGCCAGCTTCCCAGGCAGTAGGGAAGCCGGGCAGCGTGTCATTACCCACCGCCCGGCTTATCTATTGCCCGGGAAGCTGGCTCCATGCTGTTTGGCTGGGAAGACGGCTTCCCAGCCAATCAGGAGGTGGGTCATTACACACCACCGAGCTTCCTGATTGGCTGGGAAGCTGCTCCATGCTGATTGGCCAGGCGGCAGCCAGCTTTCCGGCCAATCAGCATGGAGCCAGCTTCCTTAACCAATCAGGAAGCTGGACGAGTGTGAGTACTAGTATTGGTATCGGTGCATCCCTAAATACTTATAATTGTTTCAGTTCTATGTCGGATGCTGTTTACTGTTGTCCTGTTAACATGGCAGAATTGCTCAGTTTTGACTTGTGGAAATATGTAACCCTTACATACCTTTTACTATACATACTGTTTATTCCCCACTTTTCATATACTTAAAAGGAAAAAAGTGTAGGCAGAGAATTTGGTGGGGGGTTTTTTTTTTTCCTTGTATCTTAAACAAAAGTGGATCAAAGCCAGAGGTCATCAAACAAAGGGATCCCCCTGGAAGTGTGTGCTGTCATCCAGCATCTTCAAGCAAACCACATTTCCCCATGACTCAGTGTTTCCTGAGGCCCACAGCGTGGGGATAGATCTCATGTCTCTGGCTCATTGCTCAGCTTCTGTGTTGAAATGTTTAGAACTGAATGCTTTTAAAAATTCCTTCCTTCAGCTCAGACTGCACGCTAACTGTTGTCCTACCAAATTTCAACGCTACATTCACGTTGAATCTTAATTAAAAAATGTACTCAAATCAAGTGATTTAGTTTTCGTTAGAGACATTGGAATAGTTGGCGCATATTTTAAACTGTGAAAATGCATACCATAAAATGCCTCAGCCGGTTTGTGTAATAATGTGACAAAGCTACTAGTTCACAGTGCCCTATATACGTATTCACCCTCTTTGGACTTGTGAAACTATGTAGTGTATTTTAATTTAAAAAATAAATATAGAAATGGGGAAGGTTCTGGGACAGTTCTGGCATTTTACAACTCTGGCATTTGACAGTTTTAGTGGCTGAGGGTTGGTGTTGGCACTAGGAGAGGGCAAGGCTTAATCTCAACCTTGAGAGAAGTCAAGGTTCAGTGCACAGCCCTGACCTAGGATCCAAGGGGTTCCAGAGGGACACAATAGTTTGATTTGAAGATTAACACTGGTGCTTTGGACCTGTACTTTATCACTGTGGTTACCTTAGGCTGTCTGGAGGCCAGGTCAGGTTCACTTTAATGGTTTGAGGCACAGTGAACGCGAGGGGTAGGGATTCCGATCTTGCCCTGTAGGTAAGTAAACCTGCACATGCCAGATGTTTTGAGTAAAATCTGCAGGCAAATATCTTCATTATTATGCTTATATTTACCATTGTAAATCTATTTCTACTTCTGTGGTAGGATGTGTTTGCCTATATGAAAGTTGGAGTACAAGACTGTCGAATTTTTACTGTCAACCCAAAAGGCGAATTAATACAGGAGAGGACAAAAGGGAACAAGACATCGTAAGTGTGACTTTGTTTTAATACTTTTCTGTAGTTATATTTGGGAATGTCCTAGATACATTTTCTTTAATTTTCTGATGATAAAACCTAAAGAGGCTGAAGGATGACAAGGAAACAACAATGGATCTTGTAAAAAAAAAAAAAAAAATTCTGGGTAACAACTGCTATTGACTTCAGGCACTGATAACCCCACGGTGTCTACTCATAGCATAGACATTCTTGCTTCTCAGATAACCTGGTTGCTTATTAGTTAGCCCTGTGGCCTTGCAGTGTTCCTGGGTTCATTTCTCAAACTGCGCTTATATGCATGGGAATAATATGTTATCCTTCTGTTCCAAAATATATGTATGTTCATGACTGTGTATTTGTTTTATTAGCTTGGGGTGGTTGAGGAACATTTAAACTGAAGTTTTTCAGTTGATGAACTCTATGTTTTGTTTGTTTTCCTCTAGGTATAGCAGACTTAGTGAGCTGGTGGAACATGTCTTTTCTCTGCTTGATAAGGAGCAGAACTGTGCTTTCACTTTCCCAGAGTACAGCTCATTTTGCTTTTGGAGAGAACCTATTGCAGAACTGAACATGGCAGACTTGACGTAAATCACCCCATCACAGTGTCTTGGATCTATTAGCAGACATGATTACCTGGAGTATTACTGCTGTTGGGAGCCAACATTTCTTTCCATTGTGTCCAATGTCTTTCGCCCATTCATCTTTACAGTCCGTAATTTGCAGCCAGTAAAGATATCGTATACTATCGATATATTCAGGGAAAATGTAAAAATGCGATTTTTTTATTTTACTACAATATCCTAAATCATTGTAGCAAGTTATGTGAAAAAAAAAACAAACATTTTATTTTGTTCTCAACAAATATCCAATGGTTCAGGATGTGTAATTTCTTTTTTCATATCTTCTTGTGCCTCTTGAAATGTATCTCTTCAGAGCCATTGGGGGGCAGCTTCTATTGCAGGGCAATAAGCTGCAGCCCAAATTAGCAATGAAGGCCTTTAAGTTCATAGCAAAGACTAAATTATTGTCTGCTTATTTTCAGCTGCATTGAAAAAAAAAAAAGTCAAAAGGAATCCTAGTGCAATTATTTATTGTGCTTCTTCCTTACCTGCGTTTCAAGCCACTAAAACATAAAAAGGGCAAACTAGTGAAAGATGATGTATCGGGGGTTGTGCAGAAGGTAAAGGAAAATGTACATTGGCAATATTTTTCCTTATAGTTAGTAAGTATTCTGCCCAAAACTGATCAATTATTAATTTGTTTGGAGGGTGAATAGGTGACCTGCTGTGTGACGTTTTAAACCCTTGCACTGAGTCGATATAGATGTATGGTTTTTTTAGACGTGTTTTATTGCCCATTCCCCCGTTGAAAAATCCTACACCTATGTGTCACTGACCATCCTAGATCCTCACTGTTTGGCCCACTGGGAGCTACACAGATGCCCAGTGGGCCAACCCTGCATGTGCAGTTGAATTCTAATTCATTTCTATGGAATGGTCATTTGTCATTAAGATGATTGTTGAGCGGCCTTTCCATAGAAGTTAGTAGTGAATCCACGGTGCATGTGTGACTCCCAGCCGGCAGCACAGTGAAGGTCTGCAAGGTGCAAATGCACGTAAGATTTGGGGTAGACGCTGGAGGGGTTATTAAAAGAATATCTGTACTAAAAGTACCATTCTCGTTTAATGCACAAACAATGCAGGGTATGCCATCAGGCAGATACTTTGACATTTAAATGTATTGCTGCTATGACCTTCTCATATTGTATATTACAACCTGTGTTTACCTGCAGTGGTATTGAGGCAGCATGATGCATCTACATTAAAAGTGAACTCGGTACACTAAACTCAGGAGTTAAACTTTAAAAATGCATTCAAGTAACTTTAACTATTGCCAAAAATGTATCTTGTTTGTGTATCACTCGGCTGTAGATCCTCAATCATCTCTGAATTGGTGCTGACACTGTCATCCTTTTGGAGGGTGGCACTTTTGTTCTCCATGGTCCCTATGTGTGTTTTTAAAGTAGTCACAGCTCCAAGCTCACTCTTGTTATGGACTAAAATAGTTTAATAATTTGTATTAAGATTTTAGTCCATCATGGGAGTGAGCTTGGAGCGTCGACTACTTTACAACACACACACCATGTGGAGCAAAAGTAGCCACCTTCCAGAAGGAAGGACAGTGTCAGCATGAATTCAGAGATGATTTGAGGATTGTGATACACAACTAAGATACATTTTTGTTAATAGTTGAGGTACTTGAATGCATTTTTAAGATTTAACTTCTGAGTTTAAAGCCTTTATTTAGCCTGTATGTTTGAGCCATACTATTCTTGGGACCCTTCTTATGACGATCTGCCACCACTGCTTTAAATGGGAAATGTCACACAGTGGCAGGCTCGCTGGCTGGTGTGTTTGCCAGTGCATAATGTGCTCATTTAAGCCAGTTGGACTGACACATAATTAAGACCAGCAGGTATTACGATCTTCAAGGTAAATGAAGTTGGTAGATGTATCTTCACTTCAGAAATCAGAAAACGTTCACACGCTAGTTACCCTAATCATACTCATAAAGCCAAAGTGGAGTCCACTCCTTTAAAAGAAAAAACGTTTTCATCAAGTTCCCCCTTTATGTTTAAGGCATTCTGTGCAATTTTGTTATATGATGTGTTTATTTAAGGCTGTCATGAGTGATGTTTGACATAAAAGTTGATTTTGTTTTAATTTGTCAATGTTAAAGCAATGATTGAAATGTTCATTTAAGGTTTGCATTGGTTAAAAATGTCCACTTTTACTAAATCCAGAAGGCTGAATCACTCTGCCACTATTGTGCATATGCTATTTTATTGCCGTTTTCTGGGAAGGTTCTGTGATGACAAACAGTAGATTTAGTTTTCTGTAAGTTGAGCTGGAACTCGCAGAGAAGTAACTTTGGCAGATGAGAATCTGCGTCTTGCCAAATGCATAGTGTTATCTATAACTAAGTTCCTGTGCACGCAGGCTTTAAAGGAAACCTGCAAGTAAAAGAAAATGACCGAGCAAGAATATCTCGCCTCTGTTCAGCTTGTAAAAATAACCTTTTTGTCACTCCACCCTTCTAAGGGTGTAATGCTTGCCAAGTCTAGGGGATATACCATAGAAACATACCTTTTATTCCTCACTCCCCTGGCAGCCGATGCTTTGCTGCAATGGGGGCAGACTCTTGTCGTCCACATATTCACATTCTGGTCCTTCATTGTACATTTGCAGCCATATGATAGTGAAGAGAAGCAGCTTTATGGGACTGGTTGCCCGGCAGGAAGGAAGCCTGTGGGAACAAAGAGTTTCTATTATAGCCCCTTAGACTTAATAAACTTATTAGAACCTTGCTGTAGAGGGGAGTTCTACCAAAATGGCATTTTTACAAGCAGACCAGAGTTTAGCTTTGTCACCCAAACACCAGCAATGGTGAACTTCTGGGAGAATCCTTTCTAAAAGCACTTACTACTTCTTTCCCAGCAGTGCCATAATCAGTACTGTTCAGGCATAAGACTTATAGCTGGAAACTGCTTCTACAAGAGCCTCTGAGGCGTAAATCTTGGCAATGGCGGCTCACATATGAGATTGGATTCCATATGTTCTTTACACAATAATTGTCTTTTGTAAACTGTTGTGGATACAATTGTCAAATTCCTTTTCCCACTCTAGCTGAATATGCATTTCTAAACCACTTTTAAAGACCGATTTACATACATACCTTTAAAGTATTAATATAGGGGAGTAGTGACAGGGCATTTGTCATTATTCACCATTACTCTACTATCTGTACAATCTACAATGCTGTAAAAGTGAAGTTGTTCACCATCAACCTGTGGAGGCTCATGCACCCTACTCTTTTTTTTTTTTCTAAGTACGCCTCAATGCCAAATGCTGGATGTAGATAGTAGGCGTTTCCAAAGCTGCATTTTCTAGTTACAGGGTTGTAAGCCAACATTGCCTGACTACCCTTCACTTAGGATGTGGTGCTGGCTGCAGGTAGCTGTAAATGGGTGTCAGCCACTCCTTCCATGTGTTGCTACTAGAAGTCATTGTGCATTTCTGTTTTCTACATGAATGTCCTACCTCCTCTATAGCACACGAGCGCTGGGCTATGGATGGTATGAATATCCTTTTCAGAATTCATATATTTAGGGAACGTGAACACATTTTATTGTAGTAGGTATGATATTCAAATCTATTCAAATAAAGTGTTCAAATGTTTTATACAATTCACATGTTTGTGTTTTTTTATTCTATATGAATGTGATGCAATTGTCTTTCAAAGTTTATGATCATTGCACAAGACTACGCTGCCTTGTTACTAGTGGATGATTTCAAATACAAAATCCTTGGTTATTGCACCCCGCAGTTTGATAATATGCCAACCTAATAACCCATGTCTGCAGTTAACAAAGTACTCAGAGGACCAATGTTCTCACTTCATGTTTCTGTTTATAAGTGGTTGTGGTGAATAATTCAATACAATACAGCTCCAGCTATCAGTCTGATCTACCACTACTGGTGTATTTCTAGGATAAATTTTATGCTGCTGGAGTCAGGTTTCAGAAAAAAAACTCAGCCAAGCGCTATTTGTATGTGAGCTGACCATGTAAAATTTCCCCAGTGCAATCTGCGGACTACATGTTCCTCTACGGGGTACACTTATCTTGTACTGGATCTGGATAAAATAGCTGCAACTTTCACACTCCTATCCACCTTTGCATACTTTTACATATTTTACATTGCAGTTGAAGGAAACCTTTACCAGAACATGAAGGCTGTACTGATCTGTAAATACTAGTCAATACTAGCCTGCTTCAAGCCAGACGTCTAACATGCATGCATTTAAGGACCTCTAACTTTTTACTCTGACTTTTCTAATATGCATATTTCCTCTGTCAGTATTTTTTTGCAAGTCTTGAAGCCAGGAGTTCAGCATTTACAATAGAAGGTCACCAACAGCAACCCACATATTTATCTTCATAGTTTATTGGTCAGACTGTTCTGTATTATTGGCTATTTCAGGATGAGAGGTGGGATTACAAGATGGGAAATCAACAATGTGTAGTAAAATGAAACAATCCTCCTTTTTTTTTTAACTTTACATGATAATCACATAACACTTTTTTTTATCAGGTTTGCACATCCTATAACTTGGTGAGAAAAGTAGATTTGGTGGTTGCTTCATAATTCCAGTTAGAAAAATGCCATCAATAGAACAACTGTCAAATTATTATTCCCTGCATTTACATATCAGGAACATAAACTATATTACCAAAAGTATTGGGACACCCCTTTCAATTCATTGTATTCAGGTGTTCCGTGAAATTTCCTTGCTACTGAATATTTCACAGTCAACTGTTGGTATTATAACAAAGTGTAAGCAACTGGGAACAACAGCAACTCAGCCACAGAGCGGTAGGCCATGTAAAATGACAAAGAGGGGTCAGCGCACAGTGATCAGAAGTCGCCAACTGTCTGCAGAGTCAATAGCTACAGACCTCCAAACTTCATGTGGCCTTCAGATTGGCACAACAACAGCGCGTAGAGAGCTTCATGGAATGGGTTTCCATGTCCGAGCGGCTGCATCCAAGCCTTACATCAC